GGTAACAAATAAAAACAAGCATTTGTTGAGTACCTACTATGTACTACATACCATTCTGGTCACTGGAGAAATAAATATATAAGTAAATCATAGAGGATAAATAAGGTCATTTCTAGAATCAGCATTGGCAGAGCTGAGAACTTGCCATTGAAAGACTAGTTGGATACTGTGACTACGAGTTTCAGTTTTCTAATGTGCAAAATAGATGTAATATGTCCAACTTAACTATCTCTCTCAAAAGTTTGTTGTGAAGAAAGACATTATAAATTGTGAAGAACTATGGAAATGATAACTAACGATCATACAAACTAGAACAAAAAGACAGGTAGGAAGTTGTCTGGGGAAAACAGGAAAATAAAGAGCTCCAAGAAGAAAGAGCACAGAATTTGTAATCTGAAGCATTGGGCTCATGTTATGACTACTACTTACTGGCTATGTGACTTTGGGCAAGTGTCTAAGCTTCTCTAGGCCTAAAATTACTCGTCCATAAAATGAGAGGGTCAAATTCAAAAGAATGATAAGACAAGATTCAATAAACTAAAATTCTACAGGGGAAGTCAGTCCATAAAAGGTGGGGAAATTTCAAGAATTAAATTCTGAAAATCACAAAGAAAAATGATTCGAAGAAGGAGGAAAATAGGGAGTTATCTGGAGAAAATGATGTGGATTCACAGACAACTCATCAACTAACTTAGATGTTATAATAATATTCACAGAAAAGGGAAGCAATGAACAAAATGTGGTAGAATACTGTACAAATAGTGATAGGATTGCTAATACTCAGGGAGCTCCAGTTGGTAAGAACAAACAAAGACAATAAGAAAAAAATTAATTAGTCTTATTTCAGAAAAAAGAAAGATCAAAGAAGAGATATGGCTGCTGCTCAAGGTGAATGGAATGATAGTAACTGAAGAAAAACAAAAGGCAGAATTTCTCAATTCTCAATTTCCTTCTGTTTTATTTACCAAGTAGATAGACCTGTGAACCTGTAAGGGACATCATAAAGTTAGCCAATGGGGAATCCATAATCAAAATAAGTAAAGCTACAGTATGAGGCTACCTGGTTGCTTTGTCTGGCCTGTTTGAGTTGCCTAGCCCAAGTTAACTGCATACTGGGGCTAAAAAATGAATTTGTTTAGATGCTAATGATTTCTGAAAGATCATGGTAGCAGGAGAAGGACCACAATAATGGAGAAGGACATATGTCCTGATTTTCAAAAGAGGAAGGTGAAAGAAAAAAGACAGTGGGATTTGAAAATTATATGCCAGTGATGTTGACTATGATTCATGGGAAAATTTTTAGAATATATTAATAGTGATTATTTTGAAAAAAAATGCATTTTATTGATGCCTTTTGCCTTCATCTCACAGTCATTTCTGGGAGAGGAAAAAAAAAAAACAATACAAAATGGATTTGCTTTTTCCTTACTACATCTAGATTGATCCTTCCCTTATAATAAAAGCAATTATTTTTGTAACAAAGAAAAACAATTAACTGACACCCCTACATATCTCTCTTTGCTTTGAGGAAGATCTGTTTTCTGATCGATTCTCTGAGAAAATCTGTGTTTTTTTCCCAGTAATTTCATTTTAGTGGGCTTGTCATTTGCATTAATGTAGCCATTGTGCATGTAACATCCTTTAGGTCTATCAAGGAAAGACAGATGATGGAGATAAAAATCCTCTTAGATTGTTCTCAGCCTCTCAGTGAGTTCTGCCTGGTGCTGATGTTCCTAGATTTGACTGACTAAGCCTACTTTCATATCTTAAAGAGGGGAGCACAAAATGGCACCTGGAGTGAGCACACAGCCAGTGAGGACAAGTGGGGAGCTGTTATCAGTGAAGCATGAGGAGAGATGCCAACCTGGGAGCTGTGAGGAATGAATACCTCGACACCAAGAGAAGACTCAGAAGACTAGGTGAGACAGAAGTCACAAGAACAGAGAAAGAGCTCAGTAGTAAGAAATGTTCACTCTGTGGAGACAGAAGCAGTGAGTAATTGCTTTTGTTCCTCATCTCCTTCTTCATTCCCTTCTTTCTCAACAGAAGGATGGGTCTCCCTTAAAAGTTTGTTTGCCTTCTATTTGACGTTTGCCGTCCTCTTTGTTGCTTGCTATAAGAAGGGATTGCATCACTGCCCTTACCTCTGCTTGTTGCAACTACATTCCCTTCCACCACCAGCCTCAACAAGGCCCACTCTGTGGAAAAAGGTGTCATCTCCCTGTTCCATTGGCCGAGCACTACCCCAGGTGCTGCACCAACTCCCCTTTCCTAATGCCAGGCTTAGATGGTTGTTGTACATATCAGGAATGCTGGGGCCTGGGCACTTCATCTCCATGCTGGGGTCTGATTTTGCCTCTTTTGACACTGCCACTGGTGAGACTTTAGTTCTGTCCTTCTATGATAGGACCACATAATATCTCCTTGAGCTACTCTGATTGATGCCCCCCCCCCCATACTTGGGCTGAGCATTGATCCCTCCCCCATCCCAGGGCCTTCCTACTCCCCCTCATCGATGATCCTGAGTGCTAACCACCATGCTGGGGCCTTACTCCTGGCCCCTATGTTGGAAGCATTGCTTCATGTTCTACCATTTCTGCTACTTAGTGCAACTGTCATGCTAGGACTGAGCTCTGCTTCTTAATACTGGAAGGAGCGCTGCCACCAGAGCTGTTTCATTATGCCAAAGCCAGAATACCAAGTCCACTGTGCTTAGTCTGAGTGCTACTACCCTACATGGGAACAACTGCTATCAGAGAAGCTACCCATGGTGGGATCTGAGTGCTGCCACCCTATGATGGCTCCTGAGTAATGCCACTCTACGCTGGAAAGAGTACGCTGAATCTACAACTGCTTGAGTCTGAGGACTACCACCCAAAGCTGAGGCCATGGTTATGCAACACTGAAAAAATGGCTGTTTTTTGTTCAACTTGTTAGTGCTGCTGAACTCCTCTCTTTCTCTCTGTCTCTCTCTTCTTTGTTATAAGGAACAACTTTATCAGAAGGGAGGGGAGAAAAATACCCTGAGGAATTTAGGGAATATTTTTTTTAAAGTGTCAATAAAATTTTATTTAAAAATAATATTCTGTTAAAGTGAGAACTCTCTCAGTCCAGGTCCCATACTAGGCTGGAAAAATAAGAAATTAGACGAAGTAAGGAAATAGATGGCTTTTATTTGAATTAGCCTTAGAGGGATGGTAATCTGGCCTCTCAGTTATATTGTACAACTTTTTCAAGACTCTGCTAAAACGAGGATTGTTTGTTCTATCAACCAAAGCTCAATACATGAAAACAGGATTCCTCACTTTAACTTAAGGGGAAGTCACTCTTTAAAACAGAGTTAATGACTCTTGTTATTGAAGCCAATAAAGAAGGCTCACTGCTGTTCCTCCAGGATATGAAGAACCATTCATAGCTTTGCAAAAACAAAAATGTTCCTGTACCTGTTTTCCCACAGACCTTTCAACATTGACTGTACCTCTTTTTTTTTTTTGACATCTTTGCTAGTTTACATGGTGTAAGGTAAAGAAATCTCAGATTTGTTTTAATTCACATTTCTCTTACTTATTAGTGATTTGGAACATGCTTTCAAATGGTCACTTATAGTTTATAATTCTTTTGGAAAATGTTGATATTCTTTATTTACTGGAAAATAGCTCTTGGTTTTATACATGTGTATGAGTTCTGTATATATGTTGTGTATCAGACTTTTAAAAATGATATTTATCCCTTCTTATGTGCACATACATAAATATGCATATACCAATGTATATATGAAGTCATATTATATTTTTATAAGCATGGTAGCTAGGTGTTACAGTGGATAGAGCACTGGGCCTAGCGTCAGGAAGACCTGAGTACAAATGCAGCCCCAGACACTTACCAGTTGTGTGACACTGGTCAAGTCACTTGACTCCTATTTGCTTCAGTTCTTCATCTATAAAATGGGAACACTGGAGAAACAAATGGCAAAACACTCCAGTAGCTTTGTCAAGAAAACCCCACGTAGAAAGTTTGTGGGGTCTTGCAGAGTAGGATGCTACTGAATGACTGAACAACAACAACAACATATCTATATGTGTATATGTATGTGTATAGCTGCATTTTATATATATGTGTATGTGTGTGATAAATATATATCGGAGAGAAGAAATTGTGGGGAACGGAATAATGCATATAAGGTCAATCCTTTTCAATGCATTTGTTCTGCTGAATTTATATTTAATTATTTGTTATAAAAGATAGCTTTCTGGGAAAGAGATAAAGAAGGTATGTATTTGGAAATGTAAATGATATGAGAACAAATAATATTAATAAAGTTTTATTTTAAAATTTAAATAAAGAAATAATCAACATTAAAAAACTCATGGAAGCAGCAATAACAATGCAAAATTATACACGCTACATAGTCAATAACATGTAAGAACACATCTTAAATAAAATATAACACATAGCATCAAATAGAAGATTTAATATCATCAATCTACATACATGCCAAAGGCACAAACATAATGTGTTCCTATTATGTGAATATGTAAAACATTAGCGTTTGCATCAAAGGAACATATATAGCAAAAAAGAATAAAATGCATAACATCGTCCATTGTATTATATAAAAAGCCCAAATTACATTTACTCAAAAAAAAAAATGAGGGAACATCTACTGACTCTTTCTGTAATCTTCTTACTCATTACACTTTAAGCATCACGAGTAAACCATGTCAATGTCTAAATAGGGCTGGTACTTCTACAGTACAGTATCTATTCTGCATCTTTGGTGTTTTCATACCCTCTGGCCTATAATCCTAATCTTAATTGGAGCAGCTAGGTGGCACAGTGGTTAAAGTGCTGGGCCTAGAGTCAGGAAGGCCTGAGGTCAGATTTGGGCTCAGACACTTAACACCTGTGTAACCATAGGTAACTCACTTATCTTTTGTTTGCTTAAGTTATTTTTGGGGGGTTTGTTTTGTTTTTGTAAAATGAAAATAATACCAGCTCCCTCTCAGGGTTATTGTGAGGATAAAATCAGGTAATATTTATAAAGCCTTTAGGACATACACATACATACACATATGTATATGTATATACATTTGTGTGTATGTGTAATATACTGTTAACACATATAATATGTATACAAATATTATATATAATATATTATATACATTTGTGTGTATATGTAATATACTGTTAACACATAATATATATAAATATTATGTTATTATGTATAATATATTATCTATTACATATATATTACATAAGTAGGAGATTGTGGATAGGGAACACTGCATATATATGTATATTTGCAGATATACATGTATATGGATATGTATACATACACATGTGTATATTTCTATATCTCTATCTATCTGTTTATCTCTATCTATCTCTATCTATATAGTTGGTGTTATTATTCAGTCGTTCAGTCACCCCCTAATAGTGAGCTTGCTCATGGTCCAGAAACAGTTCTCACTCTTTCTACTTCTGCTCTAGAGTCTTAGAAGGATAATCTAGGCTAATAATCATTAACTCCAGATGCTATCCCAACTAGACTATTCAACAAGAAAGGGGCTATCTCTGGGATTATCCCCACCCCCCTTTGAACAAAAGTTCCCCTAAATTCCTGGACATTTACTCAAAACCAACATATAGTGATACGTCCATCAAAACACCATTTGTATCCACCATTTGCGAGTGAATCAGTCAGAAAACATTTATTTAGTGCTTACTATGCACTAGTCATTGTGTGAAGAGATGGAAATAGAAATATAAACACAAAGGAAAAAAAGTCCCTGAAATCAAGGCGCTTACATTCTAATGAAGGAAAACAGTGTATTAAAGGAAGCTGGAAAAGGGCTGTAGGAGAAGAGAGAAGACAGGTACCTGGCCCAAGGACATGGTAAAGAAAAGCCTGAGTTCCACATGGAGAAGAATGATTCGTTGCCTAGCTCTAATAACTCGTTATCACATGATGAATTTCCTCTGTTAAAGATATTTCCAAAATTATATTTAAAATAATATAATTGCTTTCTTTACAACAACTCTGTGAAGGAGGGAAAATTCACATTGTTGTTCTCATTTTACAGATGGGGAAACTGACATTCAGAGAAATTAAATAACACATATTAACTGGTGGAGCCTGCATTGAAATCTAGGGGTTTAAACCATGCTTTCCACTGCACAAAGTGATCTCCCCATAGGAGTGTATGTAACATTTCTGCAACAGCTTAGAACCTAAGCTTCTTAAGGGCAAGTTCTGGCTCATATTCTGACCCATGAGTCACCATCCTTTCCTACTGAGGAAAAGAGAAAAGTAGTGACACTGAAAGAGTGATGTGAATGGGCAGGAATAGGTGCCGACCAGTCAGGGACTGTCTTTTGTCATTTAGGTACTTACAAGATGTGTAGGATCATCAGATCTTTGCCTTACAATTGCGTCTCTTCTTTTATCTTACTATAGAGCTCGGCATATGAGAACTCAATGGATTTCTATTCTATGAGAACAACTCAGACCAAAGATATGGGGATATTTGATGTCCTTCTTACTAACCCAATTCACCTAGGAGTCCACCAGTTACTATCATAATCAGTGCTTGAGAGCTATTACTAACCACCATCACTGTCTGAGAACCTTTGGATCCCATAAGTTTGGGGTTAGATTTCACCCCCAAATTCTATGATCTTCAATTCTCTCAAGGATGATACTGAATTACCAGTGAATGTACTGTTTTATGTTTTATGCAGATTACCCATTTGACAAAATCACTTCTCTTTCAAGTTCAAGGCCTTTAGTCTGTAAAGATTTTGAAGAATCTCTCCCATATCCTTTTGGTTTTGACACCATAAATGATAGGGTTCACCATGGGTGGGATAAGAAGGTAGATGTTGGCCACAAAAATATGGATATGGGGAGCAATATGATGACCAAACCTATGAGTGAGGAAGGAGAAAAAGGCAGGAGTATAAAAAGTCAAAATGACCCACACATGGGAGCCACAGGTGCCCAGGGTTTTCAGTCTAGCCTCCTTGGAGGGTAGGCAAAATACAGTACTGAGAATGAGGACGTAGGAACAGATAATCACAATGAAATCCAGTCCTGCGGTAAAGAAAGCAATAGAGAGGCTGTAGGCTCTGTGGACCTTAGTCTGGGCACAGGAAAGTTTGATCAGTGCCATGAATTCACAGTAAGTGTGGGGGATGATGTTGGTCTTACAATAGGGAAGCCATCTAAGCATGAAGGGATGAGGACTCAGCAAAATAACTCCCCGAATGACAATGGCCAAACCTAGGTTCCTGATAACTACGTTGGTCAAAATAGCTGAATGTCTAAGAGGGTTACAGATGGCCACATAGCGATCAAATGCCATAGCCAAACAGAAGCCAGACTCCATGGTGGTCAGGGAGTGTATAAGAAATATCTGAGTAAGACAAGCTTCAAGATATATCTCTTTATCATTAAACCAGAAGAGACTAAGGATTTTGGGCAGTGTGGTGGTGGTGATCATCAAGTCTGCCACTGAAAGCATGGAGAGGAAGAGGTACATGGGCTCATGCAGGCTAGGGTCATTCCTGATGATGACCAGAAGGGTGCAGTTCCCCAGGATGGCCAACATATACACAAGACAGAAGTGGATAGAGATCCAGATTTGAACGGTTTCCAGTCCTGGAATTCCAAGGAGGAGAAAGGTTTTGGGATGCAGATTGGTAAAGTTGAGTGCTGACATCACATGGATCTTTTATCTTCATCACCTATATCTCACCAAAGGCTATCAGTTCTCTAAATAAATTGAATATTAATCAGTTTTAATTTCTTTCAGATAGAAACGATGTATTAATTCAATGACCCAACTCTTCAAGGTGCCCTGATGCTCTAACATATAGATGAATATTAAAAAAAAAGGTAATCAGGATTACTTGATTTGGATTTATATCCTAAAGATTTGTAAAGACAAAGATCCTCTTCTAGTAAGGAATACAGTTTATATTTTAGACTAGGCTTAGATTTTTGTTTGTTTTATAAAGACTTTAATCTAGTTACAATTTGCATTACATTTAAAGCTGGGTTGTGTGGGGAACTTCACATATCTTTTATACTTTTCTAAAGCATGGTATGTACATGGGCTCATTTTACATATTAGGTAGATAAAGGGGAAATCTACTGGTCAAGACTCTTTATCAAAAGATGTCATAATCAGTCCACATCCCCCGGTCTATGTCAGTTTCTCAAGCAAACATGTCAAAAAATTCCTTACTCATTTCATGAATTGAAGTGAAGGTAACTTAATTAAGGAAGGACATTTTGCCCTTTAACACTCCAGGAGTGGACAAATTACTTTGGTACTATATTTACTATGAAGATCACATACCATCACCAAACTTAGTAAGCTACACAGTTTCAGTTTCCAACTCTAGCGAGTCCCATTGATTATTTCCTCCTAATTTTCCTTGAACAAAAGCAAATTTAAGTATTCCTGGAGCTCCCACAAAAAAAAATAAACTAAGAAAGTGTAATTCTTCTTGTGAAACCAGA